TCTCCAAGCTCTAAATGTTGGGGGTACCCAAGGCTCAATCTTTGGACCTCTTTGTCTGTATGCATTCCTAGGGTGACCTCATCCTGCTTTGGGGGTTAATTACCACCCGAAACCAGTGATGTCTGCTGTGTGTCTCCAGCTGGGACCTGCTCAGCTCCTCCTCCTGGATGTGTCAGAGTTGTCACTGTGCGTCCTGACCTTAACCTGTCCAAGCCCAGCACCTGATCTCCCTGCTCCCATCCCAGCCCAAGCCTGCCCCTCTCCTGCTGGCCCCATCAGTTGTCTGCGGCTCCACCCCAGCAAGGCCTTGACCTTCTCTTTCCTTCACCCCTGCTCCATCTAATAGGCCAAAGCTCACCCGGACTCCCGCCCCTCCCCGCCTGCACACCAGCCCCAGCTTCCCCGCTGCAGGCTGCTGGCCCCAGCACATCACGCATTCTCTGCCCAAACCCTCCACGCTCCAGCTCCCGTCCCCACGCAGAGTAACAGCCAGGTCCTCACGATGGCCCACGAGGACCAGCCCCCCAACCTGCTTGCGCTGCACCCCTCTGCCTGGAGCTCCCCTGCAGACCTGTTAGTCTTTGATGAGACAGTGCTGTCCATCAGCCCCCCCCTCCACGTGAGATGAGCCCTTGCCTCACCCTGCCTCACCCACCCTGCCTCACCTGTGCTCGCAGCACTGACTGCGACCTGTTTGACTCGCTAATTACTTTCCTGTTTCCCTCCGTTTGCACAGCAGCTGCGCTGTGGTATCCCCAGCCATGCGTGGCATGTGGTAGGTTGGTAGTTGCTCAACAAATAGTTGCGAGTTGGATGAATGAATGAATGAATGAATGACTAATCAACCCCTGTATTCTTTCCCATGGAATGCCCACTTGGCTTCCGAATCTCTCTCTACCCGCACTCCAGACTTCTAGTGAGTTGAAGCTTGTCATCCCATCTCTACAGTTAAACTGTGCTCCAGCCAAATGGAGGACCCCCTGACCACCTGCCGTCATTCCCACCGGGACCACAGCCCCTCCCACCAGCCTCCGTGTGAGCAGTCACCTCCTCCTGGAAGCCGTCCCAATTTATTCACCTCTCTCTGTCTCGGGTGCACTCCTGAGGGGCACCACCTCCCTCCTGTGTCTGCACTCTTTGTGACTGGTGATCATCCTGCTGCTGTTATTACCCGTAGTCTCCTTTTTCTGATTATACAATAGCAGGGACGAGATCGCTCGCTATTTACCAACCCAGAAATAATTGTTATTAGCATTTCGTGGGTCACTTCAACTTTTTTCTTTTTTTTCTTTTTTCTTTTTTTTGAGACAGAGTCTTGCTTTGTTGCCCAGGCTAGAGTGAGTGCCGTGGTGTCAGCCTAGCTCACAGCAACCTCAAACTCCTGGGCTCAAGCGATCCTCCTGCCTCAGCCTCCTGAGTAGCTGGGACTACAGGCATGCGCCACCATGCCCGGCTAATTTTTTCTATATGTATTAGTTGGCCAATTAATTTCTTTCTATTTATAGTAGAGACGGGGTCTCACTCTCGGTCGGGCTGGTTTTGAGCTCCTGACCTTGAGCGATCCTCCCGCCTCGACCTCCCAGAGTGCTAGGATTACCCGGCCCACTTCAACTTTTTTTTAAGCGTGTGTAGTTCCTTTCATTAAATCTTCACTGTGCCCACTTCTTATGCCATCGCTATTCTTCAGAGACATCGCATGGGATGGCTACCCAACATTCCCGTGCATCATTTTATCATAACTAACTCAGCCAAGCATTCCACACACAAATGATCGTGACACCCCTGCTCCCATCCTCCCCGAACATACACCCCCCCCGACACCCCCACCCCCACAAACATGCCGCACACGCACAGGGCTCCCAGGCTGCACAATTGAGGTGGTTTCCCAGGGGAGGCTGAACAATGCCCTGGACACGTGCACAGCAGGGTGGGATCCCAGCCTTTTCCTCCTACTGTCCCCAGACAGACAGGGAGACAGACAGATGGCCAGACAGACAGGCCGGACAGGCGGGTGGGAGGCGCCAGGGGAAGGTGGAGGCCATGGCTTTGGGGGCATCAGGTGGTCAGGAAGGTCGGGCTGTTGGGAGCAGAGTCCCCACCCTGGGCGTCGAACCCCAGAGAAGGGCGGTGACAGAGTCCTCTGCTGAGTGCTCTCAAGGGCGTGCGGAGGGAGGCGGATGGTCACGGAACTGAAACTTGCATTTCAGAGTCCCGAGACCACAGAGGGCTGAGTGAGACTGGCCCCCGGGGACCTCGTCATCCAACCCTCTCAAGGCCTAGTGGAGGTGCTGAGGTCCAGGGGTTGGGGCCTCTTGGGCTCCTGACTCCAGCAAAGAGCCTTTCCTGCGTCTCCGTGTGGCCTGGTCTCTGTCCCCAGAGCCACCGTGGCTGTTAGCATGGGAAATGGGGACTTCTCGGGAGGGACTGTAGGACAGGGCAGGGTGGCTTGGGATGTCCTTGAGCTGGCGGGAGAGGAGGGACGGAGGGGGGAGGGAGTCTAGAGACTGGCACCCCAGGCTTGACCCCAGGTGCCTCCACCGGAGCACAGCCCTCCTGCCTCCCCCAACCCCAGGCCCTGAGAGACCCCCAGGCTCCCCCAGTGCAGAGGGCAGCGCGGGGAGAGGCAGAGGTGGCCGTGTCTGGAGCCGCCTGCTTGCCGGCGGTCTTGGAGGCAGACCCTGCGGAGCAGCACTGTCCCAGCCACCGGCTGCCGCTTCCCCCCAGACTGCTCTGGCTCCTATGGGTGTGAAACCAGGGGCCATTTGCAGAAAACATGGGAAAGAATGCACCCAGTTTTGGGGTGGTTTTGCGGAAGAACAGCAAATCCGCGGGTTCCTGAGTCAGCTCCCCTTGGCTGGCTATGGGACCTTGGACGGCCATTGCCCTCCTGAGACCCCCAAGGCACTCCCTTCTGGCAAGGGGGCTCTGGAGCCCGACCACCCCAGGGCTGTGTTGTTTCCAGCCCCCTGGTGAGTTGGAATCCTGCAGACCACTGCTGTGGACAGCGCTGACCCTAAACAGACAGCGGAAACCACTGGAACCCGCCGGGCCAGGCCCAGTGCAGAGAAGGGCTGGGTTCCCGTCCTTGGTCAGGGGAAAAGGCCCTGCAAAGAGGCAGTTATGATACCATAGACTGTGACACCACAGTGTAGCAATGCTGGGGTTGCCCAGAGAAGGGAGGTCCCAGAGAAGGAAAGTGACTGTTCCAGGCACTAAAGACCAGAGGGCCTTCTGCCTCTCCCCTGCCTCCCCTTCCAACCCTGCTGGCCCCACTCTCCAGAGCTTCCCTGGGGGTGGGAGGGGGGCTGGGGAGCCTCACAAGGTAGAACTGAAAGCAGACACCCCTCCCTCTTGTGGGCTCCCCCCAGATGCCCCAAATCTCTGCTTGCAGGGTTGGGGTTCAGTTGCTTCTGTGATAGTCTGGGGTGAGTGGGACAGGCACAGGAGGGATCCCTGTCACCCCAAGTTCTAGGAGCACTCAAGCAGGATGCTGCTCTGCCATGTGGGGCCGGCGGCATGGCACTGGGCCAGTGCCCCCAGCAGCGCCTCCGAGGCAGCTGGACAGGGCTGCCGCCAAGAATGCCAGGAATGCAGCGCGGCTGTGTCCTTCCCGCTTCTCTTCCTCCCCCTCCTCCGGGAGAACAGGATATTCCCTGTCCAGGGAAACCCAAGTCCGGTCCCTTTATGGGAAAACCACGGGGCATCTGGTCGGCACTGTTCCTGCCCTGGCTGGGTGCTCAGAATGCGAGAGTGGGGGGCTTGGGCACTGCTGGGAGGTTCCGGGGGCCGCGGGGCCTGTGTGGGTTCAACACACTTTAGGGCCTACTATGTGCGGCATGCGCATGTGCATTAACTCACTTCGTCTCACTTCAACCCGGTAGAGTCTGCTCTACAGACCAGGAAAAGGCTCAGAGGGGCTAAGGGACGTCTGAAGGCGCCATCGAGCAAGTGGCAGCGCCAGACAGGAGCCCCGGCTAGTGACTGACGCCCACACTCCTGGCCACCAGGCCAGGCGGCCTCAGCTCAACTGTGACCGCTGGGGGCCCTGTCCTGATGCCCCCACATGGCACCTGCAGGGTCGGGCATGCTGGAGAGATGCAGCCCCGCCCTGCCAGCAGCCGGTCTGTGTTGCAGTTGGCAAAGCTTTGTCTCTGAGACACCCACCGGGGCTGGCCCCCAGCTCCAGCCCCTTCCCCGAGGCTGTCCTTGCAGGGCCCTGGCACCAAGGCCCCCAGAGTCTGATGACAGTATAGGCAGGAGGGGCTCCAGTGACCCTCCCTGATGGGCAGGGGACCCCGGGATGGGAGATGGGGCTCTGGGAAGGGCCCCCTCCAGGCTGTACACCCACCGACGCCTCCTTCTGAGGCTGCTCTCCCGGCCTCGTGGCATCACCCGGGCTGGCTCAGGGGCAGCCCCCGGCTTCTCCCGATCAAAGACATGGAGGCCCAACCTCAGACCAGGCCTTTGGCAGGTGGGGAACAGAAAGATATGCAGAGACCCCCTGGAAACATCCTGAAATGATGGGAGACCAAGGGGCCACCTACATGGACGATTATCCCCATTTAGAAATAGGGAAACCGAGGCTCAGGAAGGTCAGGTGACAGACCTGTCACCTAGCAGAGTTGTGATTTGAATCTGGGTCTTTCTGTCTCTGGCACCCACCCTTGGGCCCCTTGTTGTCCCCTCCCCCTACATTCCCCCAGCTCCCTAGCGCTGAAGTCCGGCTGGTTCTGTTCCAGTGTGCTGTCCTGCACAGGCTGTGGGTCCCCTGGGGGGCCAGGGCCAGGTAAACAGGATCCCAGCCGCACTCCCTGACCTTGTTTACCTCCCAAAAGAATGTGAGGGCATTCTTCCCCTTCCTGGTCTGTGAGTCACCCCTCAGCAATGCGCCTGGCTCCACTGCTGCTGCCTGTCCCCCGTGCAACCCCCTCCGACCCTGGCCCCTCGCCTTCTCACCCGGTGATGTCACTGATGTCATTCCTCCCTGCCCCCCGTGGAGCCCACCAGGCCTCCGGTTGCCATGGCGACCGGCTCACAACAGGAAGCAAGGCCCATCGAGGGAGGCTGAGCTGGGGCAGAAACACAGGAAGCAGCGCTGAGCACTGGGTAGCATTGTCAGCCTCGTAAAAAACAAAACAGGACAAAAAGATTTAATGAGAACAATTAGCCCAAAGAAAAAGGAAAAAAAAAAAGGCCAAGAAAACAAACAAAGCCAAACAGCCCGAAGGCAGGAGGCTGGCCAGGGTCCAAGGACCCCGTGTTTTCTCTCCGGACACAATGTGGGTTAAATAACACTTCCTTCTCAGAAGGAGGCTCCTGGGGGGGTGGGGGGCTCCGGTGGCTTTTCCTGTCGAGCCTCCCAACTTCTGAAGCCTCGAAGCTACCCCTGGAACCCCGACCCAGCCCGGCTCTGGGGACCCCGATGGGCGAGCCCAGCCTCCAGCGAGTGTTGTCAGCCCCCTTCCAGCTCCGTGGAAGACAGAGCCCAACTGCCACCTGCTTGTGAGTTTCTGTGCAAGGAACAATCTCTTTTGGAGCCTCAGTTTCCTCACTAGCTACCCCGCCCCCATCACCATCATCAGCTCCTCCCGGAACTCCTCTGAGAGGTGTGGTGACACTTCCATGAGTTGGCACATCAACTAGCATCCAGCAGGCGCTCACTGTGTCAGGGATGAGCTAGCGGAGAGTGAATGAACTGGGCAGAAACCCCACGGAGGCAGCTAGTTAGCGCTGAAGTGGGGACAGAGATGCACAAGATGCCCCAGAGGGATGGAGACCCCGGGCGGGAGGGGAGCAAGTAGAGGCTGGGAGGACTCGGCAGGGCCCCCAGAAGGGCCTGAGCCCCGGGGTGTGGGGGGCGCAGCAGAGTGGAAGTCTCCCTCCCTCCCCCCAGCCGAAGGCTCCGGCCCAGGGATTCCACCTGAGTAACCCCGGCTCCCTGGTGTCTGGGGGAGGACGGGGTGCAGTTCCAGGGGGCAGGCCCTGGGGCAGAGGAGGCCGCCACTCTTGGCCATTTAGTCCCCTCCCGAGGAATGTGATATATGGGAATGGCCCCAGGGGGACATTGGCTGGACTCCGACCATGCGGTGCCAGGCCATGCCCTGCACCCATCCAGCACCTGCGTCGGTCAGAGGTAGAGCGAGGCTGTGCGGGGCCTGGCCGAGGGTCGGGGCGGTAGCTTAGGCGAGGGGTGGCGTCGCTCAGAGCTGGCTCCAGGCGGTCAGAGCGGCCACACTGGGAAATGTGTCAGAAAAAGGTGGTAGGAGTTTGCCTGGCAGGGCCAGAGTGGCAGCTGTTCCATCGGGGCCACGTGGGCACAGGTGGCTGGCGAGGAAGCCCAGAATGCTCTGGGTGTGGGACCTGGCCCCACGCGGCTGCGGTGGAATTTGGTGCCACAAAATAACGGGTGACCACGGGGGAAAGAAGTTGGAGCCAGATGACGGAGGGCCGTGAGTGCCACAGCCAGCAGTCGGGACCTGAGGGGCCCCGGTCAGCACCACCAGGAGCTGCTGGCGGCTTCTGCGCAGGGCACAGGTTCGAGGGACACCCCAGGAAAGAGCGCTGGGTGGGAGGCAGGGAATCCGGGGCCTTGTGACTTGGTTTCTTTTGAACTCAGTAATGACACATGATAGGTGCTCGATCGATGTTGAACGAATGAATGACAACCACCTTAGGCTCCGCATTTATTTCCCAAACATCGTCTTGTCAGTTTTCACCAGGACCCTAGGAAGTCGCCTCACTCTTGCCGGTCTGACAGCGAGGCAATGGAGGGGCAGAGAGGTGGCGGGACGCGCCCAGGCTGCACGGCAGGCGTGGTGGAGCCCAGCCCCGCGGACCCCGCCTGCCATCTCACCCGCAGCATTTATCGGGGCTGGCTCTGTGACACACAGGTGACCAAGCCCCAACCATGTCTCTGAGGTGAGACAGGAGAGGCCTCAGTTTCCCCAGCTGTGGACTGCGGGCGGTGCAGGAGGCCCTCAGTGCGGAGGTGGAGGCAGTGGGAAGGCCAGCTGCCCCGGCCCGGCTGGGGGAGGGCTGAGACAGCAGAGGAAAGGAGGGGTGACCTGAGAAGAGACAGGATAACCGAGGGGTGTCCCTCGGAAAAGGGGCAGAGGCCAGGGCTTGGTGAGGGGGAGGAGAAGCAGATGGGCCGAGGGGCAGGAGCAGGTGTGGGGGCTGGGAGGAAATGAGTCTCAGCCCAGCCACTGGCCCTTGGGTCCCAAACACAGGTGGACGGGGACAGGGCTGCACCTGAGGGCTTCAGGTGGGAACCTGGCAAGGACACGCCTGTCTACACCCATCCTGCTGCCCTCCCTCCACCTGCACCCCCATGCACCTGGCTCCAGTCCCCACCTGGCCCCAGGTGAAGATCCCTTCCAGTCCAGGGGTGCAGGGAATCCTCCGGGGCTGTAGGACAGGGCTGGGGTCTGGGGCAGGGGGCAGGAGGGCAGTGAAGGGAGGGTCCCCAGAAAAGCCCATGGCAGCCAACCAGGGGTCCTTGGACAGGAAGGGACAAAGGTCATCATAAATGGGGAAGGAAGGGGCACTGGGGGCCACCAGGCCGGAGCTCTTGTCCGGGGATCCCTGGCCTCAGGTTCCTCCTCTGTAAAATGAGGGGCTCAGACTCTAGGGAGAGGCCACAAGGTATGGGGCGCTTGGGGCTGGGCTGTGTGGGCTCCACCCGGCTCGGGTAGCGGCAGCAGACAGGCCCCAGGGCCAGGTGTCTGTACAACACGGGGTGCAGGTGGAAATGCCTGGCTCGCCCTCGCTAGCTGTGTGACCTTGGGAGAGATGCTCAGTGTCCTCTTCCATTTTCCTCCTGACACGTCCTTTCATCTGAGGCACTCCTCCCTGTCCTGCACAGCAGGCGCCGATGGACTCTCGGGCACCATAGCTGGCGCAAGAGATCCCTTGAGGACCTGAGGTGACACCAAGGGCCCGCCTAGGAGGACCCTCTTGCATTGCTGCCGTGCGTCCTGCAGGCCAGGCTCTGGCTTCCTCCAGCTCCATCCACCCATCCGTCACGCAAGTCGGGAGTGTGCGCTGGGCAGCCAGACACCTGGGGGCCTGGCGCCACCTGGTGGTCACAGTGAATCCTGCTGTCCTCCAGGGCATAAAACCAGAACTCTGGGTACCAGCTGTCCTGTAGCCCTGTCTCTAAATTTTAAAACCAGGGCTGGCCCTTCAATGGCCTTCCCACCTCCTGCTGTGTAGCCCTGTCTTCTGGCCTCTTCTGTGCTTTGCTGAAGATCAATCAGCCTCTCACTGGGCCTTTATTCACTCAACAAACACAGAACTCCTATTGTGTGCCTGGCCCCAGGCAGAGCACCAGGACGGAGGGATGAATCAGGCATGTTCCCAGTCTGATGGGAAGGCACACGCAGACCGGAAAGCCCAGAGGTTTGCCGAGGGCAGGCAGAGGGGTTGCCAGGGAGGCTGTGGAGAAGATGCTTGAGCCTCGTTTTGAAAGATGGAAAGACTAGCGATTGGCGGAAGCGTTTAGTAAGCAGATGGGGGGTGGGGAGGTGTGCAAAAATGAGGGGAACAGCATATGCAAAGGTACGGAGGCCCTGAGCTGACAGCCGCTGAAAGGCTGTTAGTGGGGAGTCATGTGGCCGTCTGGCTGCAAGAGCTGGATGGAGGAGGTGGCTAAAGTGAGAGGTGCTGGTGGCTGCATCTTGGAGGGAGGGAGGTTGTGGTGGTGGTGGCCACAGGGGTGGGAGAAGGGGATGGAATTGAGAGGGGACAGCAGGTGAGCCAGAAGGAGGACCTGAAACACTCCTTGGGTACGTGGCTTGGCTGGTTCAGTTCACCTGGCCAGGTACTTGAGAAGGGGTGTGGGGAAAGGGGGGAGGAAGGGGTGGGCGGAGGAGGGGACGAGGGGGATGGAGAGGTGGTAGCCTGGGAGGGCAGGGCGCTCAGGGTTGGACACGCTCTGTCTGAAAAGGCTGTGGGACTTCCCGGCGAGGCCACCCAGGGAGCAGTGGCAGGGGATGTGAGGTGTTTCTAGGGTGGAATTCATGCTACCTGGTGACCTGTTGAGTCAGGAAAAAGAAAAGAGTCCAGCATGTTCCCTAGGTATGGCCTAAGACTGCTTCTCACAAACTAACGTGCCCGAGCCAGCTGGGGATGGCTTGTTACAGTACAGGTGCGACTCGGTGGGGGTGGGCAGAGCCCAGGAATCTGCATTTCTGGCGGCTCCCACGCGAGGCGGATGCAGGTCGTGGACCACACTTTGAGGACAGAACACCCAAGACACGGGGAGGGTGGTGGTGACAGTCCTTGGGATCTGGAATCCAGAAAGTGGTGGCACCAGGAGGTCCAAGCACCTGAGCTCCCAGAGCTGCACAGCTGACCCGAGCCGCACGCGGTGAGACACGAAGGGTGCTGGGACTGGCTGCATAATTTGTGGGGTTCAGTGCAGAATGAAAACGCGGGTTCCCTTGTTCAACGATTATGACGAATTCCAAGACACCAGAGCATTTGAGCCACATGTGAGGCCCTTCCAGGAGCACAGCCCTTCCTGACCGCTCAGGCCACCCGGCCACCAAGTTGGCCGGGGCTGAGGGTCGAGGCAGGAAGGCGAGGTGGCCTCCTCTGAGGACTCCTGTTCCCGCTTTGAAGGAGAAGGTCCAGCTCAGGGAAGGGCACCACCCTCTCCCAAACCCGGCCCAACTGACCATCTCCCCCGTCCTCCCCCAGTTAATCCATCCCACCTCCTCTCTCTCTCTCTCTCTCTCTCTCTCTCTCTCTCATCTGATCACCTCTCTCCATTCTCCGCAGGGCCCAGCCCAGGCCTCGCTCGCGTCTTCATTGGGCCATTGCTGGGGCCTCCTGACTCCCCCTCTAGTCCTTCTTCCCCGCAACCATGGCCACAGGCAGCTGCGGAGGGCCGCCCACCCCACTGCCTACAGTGGACAGCATCTTTTTTGTTTACTTTTTATCACAATTATACATGTTTAATCTATATATATGTATTCTGTTATTATACATGTATATAATTTATATGTAATGTGTGTACATCATACATAAAGAAAATGTATTAATAATTGCTCTTCACAGCTGGGCCGTGTGCTGTGTTTTGGTGTACTATGACTGCTTTCACTTTCTCAAGATTATCTTTTTTGTTTTTCTGGACTTTCTACTTGTCTTTTATTTTGCTTTTTTTTTTGAGACAGAGTCTCACTTTGTTGTCCAGGCTAGAGTGAGTGCCGTGGTGTCAGCCTAGCTTACAGCAACCTCAAACTCCTGGGCTCAAGCGATCCTGCTGCCTCAGCCTCCCGAGTAGCTGGGACTACAGGCATGCGCCACCATGCTCGGCTAATTTTTTCTATATATATTAGTTGGCCAATTAATTTCTTTCTATTTTTAGTAAAGACGTGGTCTCGCTCTTGCTCAGGCTGGTTTCGAACTCCTGACCTTGAGCAATCCACCCGCCTCGGCCTCTTAGAGAGCTAGGATTACAGGCATGAACCACCGCACCCGGCCTTATTTTGCTTCATTAAAAAAAATGCACTTATCACCAGTTCAACCCCAGGTACCCTGCCAGTTGTCTAAAATATCTCAGCACTTCCGGCACACCAGCTAGTCTGTCAATTTCAAGTTGTCTTGAAGACAACTCTCCCGGTGCCTTCCAACCTGCTCTGGTCTGAACCGACTGCTTTCCATGCCTGGGGTAGTATACCTGTTGTTCTGGAAATCTCCTTCAGTTCTCTCCTATTTCTCCCTGATCTCATGGCTTCTTATTTGTTCTACTCCCTCTTTCTGGTTGCAAAAATCCTTCAGTAGCTTCCTGAGAAAGGGTGCATGACATGCCTGTAGTCCCAGCTACTCCGGAGGCTGAGGCAGGAGGATCGCTTGAGCTCAGGAGTTCAAGGCTGCAGTGAGCGGTGACCAATCCCCTATGCTCCAACCTGGGCAACAGAGTAGACACGTCCAAAAAAGGACAAAGCCCGGCGCGCGGTGGCTCACGACCTGGTAAATCCCTACAACATCTGGGAGGCCAAGCGGCAGATTGGCCGACGGTCAGGGTTCGAAGCAGCCTGAGCAAGAGTGAGACCCCGTCTCACTATAAATATAAAAGAAATTAATTGGCCAAGCTAATACATATACGACAAAAAATTAGCCGGCTGGTGAGCGCATACCTGTAGTCCCAACCTACTTGGGAGGCTGAGGCAGGAGATTCCGCTTGCAGCCCCAGGATTTAGTTGCCACAAAGGAGCATAGGCTGATGCTACGGCACTCACCTAGCCTGTGCAAAAAGCGAGACTCCTGTCTCAAAAAAAAAAAAAAAGGAAAAAAAAATGGGAAATAAATTTTTGAAGACTGTATGATCGTGCATGTTTTTGTTTCCCGCGGGCACATCATACTTCATTGGTAGGTTGGTTAGGTGTATATAGAATTCCTGGAAATATTATTCTTCGCAGGAATTTAAAGCATCCGCTGTTGTCTTCCCTGTTCCCGAACCTTGCAGTTGAGCCAATGTCGAGCCATTCTGCGTGTACCGACTCTGTTTGTCTATGACCCCATTTGCGTTTTCTTCTGGAAGTTTGTACGGCATTTTCTCTCTTTGGTTCCCGCGATTCTGAAATTTCCATACCATGTGTCTTAGTGTGGGCTGTTTTGCATCCATGCGTGCTGGGGCTGTTCAACTCTGAAATATCTCATTACATTTTTATAACTCAATTTAAAAATCACAAACTATACGACTTTCTACCTTATTATCCTTGAAGTTTCAATAAAAATCAATGGTTCATTTACCATAATGACCCAGAAAAACATATGGGTGAATCTCCCAATAGATTCGGAAAAAGCACTTGAAAAAATTCAACGCTCTCATCTAAAAGCTCTTATCTCAACACCTACGGAAGGAAAATTCCAATCTAATAAAGGATCGGTATAAAAAAATACCTATGCTACCTAAGCCTCGGTGAAGGCCGAGTGGGAGGCATCGCTTGAGGTCAGGAGTTCAAGACCAGCCCCTGAGCAAGAGTGAGACCCTGTCTCGTACTAAAAAGGACAGAAAGATGGAGGGGGGAGGGGGGCGGGGTATAATACATACATCAATGAGTGAGACATTGCCCAGTTTGGGCGGAGGCTCATGATGGAGACTCAGACTTTTGGGGGAGCGGGGGAAATGGGCATTATTGAAACCATAAAAATCTGTACCCATATATGCCAAAAATAAAAAAAAAAAAAGACGAAAGAATAGCTGACAACCTAAAATACTATCACGAGGAAATATTTTAGCCGGGCATGGTGGCGCATGCCTGTAGTCCCAACTACGAAGGGGACTGAGGCAGAAGGATCACTTGAGCCCAGGAGTTTGAGGTTGCTGTGAGCTATGATGATGCTACTGTACTAGCCAGGGCAACAGAGCGAGAGCTCATCTCAAAAATAAATAAATAAATAAATAAAAAAGATAAAAATGTACTGTACAATACTATACCGCAATAATAAAGAAACTCTAGTACCAACATGAGAATAGATGTTTAATGAAACAGAATTGGGAGTTCAGAAGTGGATCCATACATTTAAGGAAAATTGACTTTCGGTTAACATGCTAAGGCAATTCAGTGAGGAAAAGGATACTAGAATAATTGATTAACCATATGGAAGAAAATAAACCTTGACCCTCATCTTGCATCATATACAAAATTAATTCAAGGTGGATCATGTCCCTCAATGTTAGAGCTTTTGTTCTTAGAAAGATATCATTAAGAAAATTAAAAGGCAAGCCAAAGTCTTAGAGGAAATATTTACAAAACATCTAACTGATCAAGGACTTGTAATATACAAAGAATACATAAAGAGTTATTTTACCTCAAGAGTAAGAAGACAATCTGATCTAAAAAAATAGGCAAAAGATTTGAAAACACATTACACCAAAGAGAATATATGAATGGCAAATAAGTACCTGAAAAGACACTCAACATCATTAGTCATTAGAGAAGCGTAAGTTCTCTGCATTCTGTCGGCAGATGTGCAATAAATAGGTAAAACTGGAGATTGACAATGTCAAGTGATGGCAAGGATGAGGAGCGACTGGAACTCTCAAACAGCGTTGGTGGGAATGAAAGCTAGAACAGCTAACTCAGAAAACAGTGTGGCATTATCTCGAAAAGTTGCCATGCACCACGCAGTGTTTCCACACCTAGATTTCTACCCACGATGCATGAAAACTGCTTTCTAGGCTTGTCGCTGCAGGGATGCTCCTGAGATTTCTCTCCAGTGTACCTCTGAATGAGTCCCTTTGTTTCTTATTTGCTACACCTTCCTCGTAGTTGTTGCCGCCTCTTACGCAGCCCGCTGGTGCTCACCAGAGTCCGCGAGCTCCTTTGCCTCCTAGCCAACAATGCAGGGCTTACCCAATCCCTTGCACCCAGTTTCAGTCACATGACTAGTTTTTGCTAATGAAATGTGCCTGGAAGGTGTGTGACCTTACATGGAAGGGATATACCTTCTTTGCTCTTTTTTCCCCTGTGCCTACCAGCCACATGTTCCTGAGGTCCTGAATGAATGTGTGGGGCACCAATAACCTGCACTGGGCTCCAGGGTGGTCCTCGCGTATTTAACCACGGAGACCATATGTGTGTGTGTGTGTGTGTGTGTGTGTGTGTGTGTGTGTGGTCTCATATGTGAACTAAAATAAAATTTTAAGGCTCACCCCGCCCCCCACCGGCTGACTGAATGGACCCCCTAGTGGCCAAAGGAATATCCTAAAACTAAATTGTTTGCCAGGAGGAGGGGGGTGAGACATGCCTCATCATGCCCCCTCCCTTCTTGGGGACATCCTTTGTAACCCATTAACAGGCCTAAGGGTATGCAAGACACACCTGCAGGTCCTCAATTTACACAACAAATTTATGTCAGGTGACTTATCTCTGAGAACAGCTCCTTATGTTAAAACATTTCAAGCCTTCAGACAAAGCTTCCTGTCTTTAACCAATTACAAGCCAAAGAATCTTTAAACCCACCTGTAACCTGTAAGCCCCCCCCCACCTCTTTGAGATGTCCCACCTTTCGGGCCAAACCAATGTGTGCCTCCCACGTATTGATTTATGACTTTACCTGTAGCCACTGTCTCCCTGAAATGTATAAAACCAAACTGTAACCCAGCCACAGCGAGTCCACTTGCTCGAGGCCTCCTGGCAGTGGCTCCAGGTCATAGTCCTCAAATTTGGCTCAGAATAAATCTCTTTAAAATTATTTTACAGAGTTTGGCTTTTTTCCATTGACACATAGCTAGCATTACTTACCCTAATGACATTGCTGTTCTTGCTGAAGTCGATTCTCAAATAACTTCCTAACAAAGGGTGTTCAGGAGGTAAATTTTCAGAGCTCTAGTGTGTCTGAAAAATGATTTTATTTAGCCCTCACATTTGATTTTAGCTAGTGAGCCTAACCCGTTAGTCGCCTACTAATACCCATTTCCCCACATCTTTCTTCCGAACAGAACCTCTTTTCTGTGTATGGGGCAGCAATACAATTGGGCTAAATACTTGCTTTCTCACACTCGTGGGCAGCCAGGAGGAGCTATGTGACCTGTTTCTGGCCATTGAACCTCAGCGACAGCTTGCCTGGGTTTCCTGGATAAGCTTTGCTTTCCTAATAGAATCAGAATAAAAGGGAACTTGTGCACACAGCACCACCTTCCTCCTGTCTGCAATGAACATGGGTGTGATGTCTGGAGCTGTAGCAGTCACCTTGTGACCATGTGACAACAAATACAAGGTGGAATCACAGAGAAGCTCGTGCTAATATTGCCTCTGATACCACTGGACAAACAAGCAATGCTTCCTTTGCTAAGATGACAGATGTCTTATTAGATGAAGAAAAATAGCCTCCTGTTTGTTGAATGCACTTTGAGTCACACTTTCTGTTACAGACAGCATTTTCAACTGGCCCAGAAGGTATAGAATTTTATATTCAAAGTAATTTTTTTTTTTTTTTTTTTGAGACAGAGTCTCGCTTTCTTGCCTAGGCTAGAATGAGTGCCGTGG